ATGCATACTGGAGGATAGAGTCTTAAGTTTTCATTTATAACCATGTTCATATATTTTAATTCTCTTTGTTGTTCGATGGTTGGGGTTAAGTTATCGTTAAGAACACGTAATATTTCATCACGAACTTTGCTTTGCACATCCTTATTCAATAAATAAAGGTAAGTTCCAAATGAAATAAAATTTTAAGTACAAAATTTTCAAATACCTTGTGGGTTGCTAACACATATAAAACGGTAGCCAAAGCATTGGCAGCTAATATAATTATTAAAAAAAATAAAGGTTACAATTTTGAATAAGATGAATAAAATGTATAAAAAGAACTTCTTACTAGTATCATGACCAGCCAACATAAATATTGCAAGATTGCTCTATAAAATCATGGTGAATTTACTAATTTCATAAATATTCAAAAAAAAAATATTGCTTTGAGAAAATGTTATAATAACAAATTATAATACTTACTCGCATTTCTTCGTTTGACATGGGATATTTTGGATCGTTAGCAGCGTTTATCATACGTTCTAACATATCAGCGGAATTATTGTCTATTTTTTTACTCAATTCGTCAGTTTCCATTGATTTACGTTTGGTTTCAATAAGTCCATTAAATAAATCATTAATCTTTGCAACTTTTTTACGCGCTTCAGTTCGATAAAAATACGGGATATTTTCTAAGAATGGCAAAATAAAATATATTGGTTTATCACATTCTTCTGTCACCTCTTTATATGTTGTAACATAGACATTTGTTGGATCTTCAAGATTCTATTTAATATTAATTAAATCATTAATTTTTTTTTTTTAAACAAAAAAAAAAAAAAAATTATTTTACATTAAAATCAAATCCAAAAGCAGCTCTTCCAAGAACATCTAAAGTCAGTCTGCAATAGATAGGTTATATATTAAATGTTGTTCCGATTACCATAAATAACTTCGAGATTGATTTACCTATGCATAAGATCTTTGACTTCTATAGGTCCATTATCAACTTTTTCAATAACTTTCAGCAATTTCAAAGCAGTTTCATCAAATAAATGCATGGGTAGACTTTTAAACGCAGGATTTATAATATAACTAAGATATAAAGGAGATTAATTAATGTTATAATCTATTTATGGTAAATAAATGGACGATACAAACCGATGACGTTTCCAAACCTACAAACCAATGAGATAACCGAATATCAGTCAGGGACCATATCGAACAACAGAGAAATATCAAATATACTTACATCTCCGTTGGAAAATACTACGTTTGTGCCATAGTAACTAGCCAATAAAGATCCGGGAAACAATTCTTCGATCGATGGTTTAGGAAACAAATCTAATT